TAGGGTTTAGGGTTTAGGGTTTAGGGTTTAGGGTTTATACAGACCAGACGATGGTTTTGCATTTTTGTATTTCTTCTGAATATAATTTATTTGTTTGGGGGCCGTTATCTAGAGCGAGAAGATGAGGGGGAAAATTTGCTGCTGCTGCTGCTGCTGCTGCTGCTGCTGCTGCTGCTGCATCTGCTGCTGCTGCTGCTGCTGGTGCTGCTGCTGCTGCTGCTGCTGCTCCTACACAGGGGGCGTCTGGGGTTGCTGCTGCAGCTAAAAGGAAATCAACCGGCAGCAGCAAACGAACACCACGAGCAGCAGCGAGCTCCTCTATCTCCTGTATACACAAACCCTAAACCCTAAACCCTAAACCCTAAACCCTAAACCCTAAACCCTGAGAAAAACTCCATATACACCCTTCAGCAAAGGCACTGTCTTGAGCAACAATAAACCCTCACAAACACTAAACCCTAGGAAATCATACAATACCCAAACCCTAAACCCTAAACCCTAAACCCTAAACCCTCATACACGGTGGTAATCCCCCCTAAACCCGAACCACATTTCAACCCCAAACCCTAAACCCTCATAAACCCTACCCGCTCATAAACCCTAAGTCCAACAAACCCCTAAACCCTCATAAACCCTCATAAACCCCCATAAACCCCCCACAAACCCCCACAAACCCTCCCAACCCCGCATAAACCCTCATAAACCCTAAACCCTCGCGTACTCTGCATGCATCTAGCTGTGAGTCTTCCACGAGCGAAGCCCCCACATAAACCCCCCTAGCTTTAAGGAAAGTGATGCCCATGCTGCCCCCAATCAATACTCTATCTCCCGCAACAGAAACAGAAAGAAGACGCCGCAACAACCCCACCTTTGTTGATGTTTTTGCACCACCCACCACCCAGCATACAGGGCGAGCCGGAGAGCTCAATGCACCCTGAAAAATACACCACAAACCCTAAACCCTCACAAACCCTAAACCCTCAAACACACTAAACCCTAAACCCTCAAACACAATAAACCCTAAACAATGTTGAACACACAAAAAATTAAGTATAAACAATACACAGGACGAGCTGGCGAGCTCAATGCACCCTGAGCATACAGCGCAAACCCTAAACCCTAAACCCTCGTAAACCCTAAACCCTAAACCCTCGTAAACCCTAAATAATGCTGCACACACTAACACACAAAAAATAAAATATAAACAACACACGGGACGAGCGGGGGAACACAACGCACCCTGCGCATACACCACAAACCCTAAACCCTAAACCCTCGAAAACCCTAAACACTAAACCGTCAGACACACTAAACCCTAAACCCTTACAAACCCTGAACAATGCTGCACACACAAACACTAAAATATGAACAACACCCGCTCTGCATATACACCCCAAACCCTAAACCCTCATAAACCCTAAACCCTAAACCCTAAACCCTAAACCCTCATAAACCCTAAACCCTCAACCTTGTGTAATCGGACATAGATAGCTTTGAGTTCCTTGAGGAGCAGCAATCCAGCAAGTGCGGGTTTGTTTGCTGCTGCTGCTGCTGCTGCTGCTGCATGCATCGATGCATGCATGCGGTGTAAAGCCCCAAAAGCATCATTAACATAAACATCAGCAAGAGCCGCTAAACCCTCGCCGAGGGTTTTGTCGTTTGCCTTTTCTCCCGCATTCAGACGAACTGAATACACCACACAAACCCTAAACCCTAAACCCTAAACCCTAAACCCTTAAAATATTTACACACACAGAAAAAAATACACACGTAACGCCTACACAAGTACGGTTTAGGGTTTAGGGTTTAGGGTTTGGGGTTTAGGGTTTACACCCGCCAAACCCTAAACCTGAACCCTATCGACCCTTCAAACCCTAAACCCTAAACCCTAACCCCCCAAACCAAACCATAAACC